GGCAGTGGGTGTGGTTTGGGCTTTGCTTCTGTGAAGATTGACAGCCTTGGAGACCCTGTGGGCAGTTCCACTCTGTCCTCTAGGGGTGCTGTGAGTCAAATGGACTCACCAGCACACAGCAGAATAGCGATGACATATGATGTCAAGCATCTTTTCACGGATTCAGTTGCAGCTGTATATCTTATTGACGAGGTGTCTGTTCAGATCTTTTGCCCGCTTTGTGATTGGGTTGTTTACTTTCTTACTGTTACATTTTAAGAAGTTTGTTTTTCTTTGTGTATTTTGAATACAAGTCCTTTACCAGATAGGAGATTTCCAAATATTTTCTACCAGTCAGTAACTGATCTTTTCATTCTCTCAAACTTTTTCTTTCTTTGAAACACAAAACAAAACCTGTTTTTCTTGCTGTATGGTTAGCCACTTCTCCAGGTCTTCTGGGGGATGAAGTGCAGCTTCCTCGGCCAGGCATCGAGGTCACTCATGGCCTGGGTGTCCTACCCCTATGGCCTCACCCATCTTACTCAGCACTCTTGGCACAATGAGCTCGTGGGGCTTCTGAGCAAGTCATGCATGCTCTTCGCATTGCTGCATCTTTGCCTGGAATATCCCCCCACTGCCTGCTCACCTGTCTAACCTGTCGGTGCTTTAGGACTGGATTGAACCTTTCACCTACTGGGAAGCCCTCCCACCCACCCCCAGCCCACCAGGTTGGGCACGATGCCTGGTGTGTGCGTCCCCTGAGCCCTTGAGCACACGGCTTCACCACTCATATCACCGTATTGTGGTTGCTTGTTCACGGCCTGGTTGTGCCACTAGACTGTAAGTCTATGTCTTCCTACCTGCACAGCCAGTCCTCTGCCTGGAGGATAATAAATACTTATCAACAGCTGGATAAATGCATGAATAGGTGAGGCATTAGCACATGAAGGATGCCATTGCAACCTGCTTGAAATTCTTGAAACAAAATGGATTATGAATAAACAAACACATTTCTTCCTTCATTTTACACAATGCTGGCTCCATGTCATTTTTGCAGGAAGTCTGTATCAGGCAGAGGAAGTGCTGCTGGAATCCTGTGGCAGATACCAATGTCCCGAGGTGCTTCTTCCCCAGGAACTGGGGCTATGAGGTCAGCAGTGGCAATGTCCCCACAAAGACAAGCCCAGGTGAGCACTGCCCTGATCTTGCCCCAGGGAACAGGTCATGATGGCCATGACACTGAAAATGTCTCTCTGTCTGTAGGGTTCAGCATCCAGTTGAAAAGGCTGACCTCGCCAGTGCTGTTTGGAAATGATGTCAGCAACACCCTCTTCACAGCTGAATATCAGACAGCCAATCGTTTGCATTTTAAGGTGGGTTTAATGCTCCCACTGCATACACCTGTGAAGAGAGCCCAGCCCCCCACTGGGTTCCCATCATTCTCCCTCAGGCATCAGATGGGGATGTGGCAGAGAGAGGTCTCTGCTCCTCTCCTCAGGAACCTCCACAATGTGTCCTTGGCCAATTGATTTGATGGCAATACATAATCAGATAATACCTGCCCACATACCAGGAACCACAGGGCCAAGGATGAGAAGCTGTTCTCATCAGGGCTGTCTGAGAGTGCACTTCTTTTGTAGTTCTACAAGGACGTGGTTCCGTCGGGCATTGTCCCCTCTGTGTGTCTTCTGACAGATCACTGATCTCAATAATAGAAGATACGAAGTGAACCATGAACACATTAATTCGCTGACTCCGACTGTGAACATCTCCGATCTCAACTACCAGGTGGAAGTCATCAACAAGCCCTTCAGCATCAAAATAATGAGGACCAGCAACAAAAAAGTCTTGTGAGCTTGTCTTTATGCATCTTTGAATATATCAAAAACAAAAACAAAACACGTTGCTGTCAGGTCAAGTCTGACTCACAGCCCCTATACGACGTAGGGTTTCCAAGGCTGTACTCTTTACAGGAGCACACTGCCACATCTTTCTCTCACAGAGCAGCTGGTGGGCTTGAACTGCTGGCCTTCCGGTTAAAAGCCAAATACTTAACCACTGCGTCATCAGGGCCCCTTATCTTTGAATAAACACAGTCATAATCTCTCTAATTCTAAATGACTGTGGCTGGACAATCAGGTAAGTAGGACTTGGGACAACATTCGAACCTCAGAGAGACGGCTGAGCTTTCCCTGTAAATCATTAACTCTGTTAATCTGCCATGATCGTAGAGCAAAGAATCCAAACATGCAATGCGCTAGTTTGCCAAGCTGTGCGAATATACTTGTGCTTCATGGATACTATCAAACGGGGATTTTATTATTATTATGAACTAACATTTACACTGGAACTCAGCTTCCCTGTCAATCATTCCAAAGTGTCACTGCCCGGGAAATTTCCCATCAAATCTTAACAACAGTTTGAGCTTAACTCACAAATTGTACTGGAGAAAACAAAGTATTACTGTCAGAAAAGCATGCATTCAAACCCCAGCTCCAGCAAATCACCATTCCCCCGTGTGCTGACGTTAGGCAAGGTACCTGACCTTCCTCGGTTACCTTGCCCATAGAAAGGGGATCAAAACACACACCTTCGAGGCGGTTGTTAGGTGGTGGTGTTGCCTGCTGCTGAGTCGATTCCGACTCCTGGCGCCCCACGTGTGTAGAGTGAATGGTTCCATAGGGTTTCTAAGGCTGGAATCTTTCAGAAGCAGATCAGCAGGCCTGCCTTCCGAGGCACCACCTCATGGGATAATAATATTTATAAGGCATTCAGAGCCATGTCTGCCGAGCAGGAGATGTCTTCCAACGTAAGGTCACATCTATGCGCTCCCCCAATTATCCGACTTGAGTTCCTGGTCCCCAGTCCTAGTACTGTGCTCCTCTAGAGTCAAGGATGGGTGATGCCTTTAGGGGTGTCAAAGGTAGCATGAGAGTGGATGGAAGCCCCTGAACCTGTGGCATCTAAGCGTAGGGGAAAGGGGCAGACAGAGTGCTGGGTGACCCTCTCTTCCCCACGGCCCAGGTTGGACACGGGCATCGGGCCCCTGCTGTTTGCTGAGCAGTATCTGCAGCTGTCTCTCCGCCTGCCCAGCGCCAACGTGTATGGGCTGGGAGAACACGTGCACCAGCGGTACCGCCATGACATGAACTGGAAGACCTGGCCCATCTTCACTCGGGACACTGCGCCCACTGAGGTGAGCTTCCCTTTTTCCTGCCTATTGCCCCAATCAAATACCTCCCCCCCTTCCTGTAGGCCAGTCTATAGGCTAGTCACCTACAGAGGAAGCTGTATGTAATATTTTGTCCAAATTTAGATCTGCTTGTATTGGGGAATGCTTGTTCTGGAATTCTCCCCATCCCGCCCCCCCAAAAAAACCAAAAAACCAAACTCACTGTAATTGAGTCGATTCCCACTCATAGTAACTCCCTTTGGGTTTCTGAGGAGGTAAATCTTGATGGAAGTAGATTGCCCAGGCTTCCTTCCATGGAATGGCTGGTGGGTTTGAACCGCCAGCCTTCTGGTTAGCAGTCAAATGCCTTAGGCCCTATGCCACCAGAGCTCCTTGTTCCTGAATTAGAAATTAAAAGCATATTACTTTTATAGGGAAATACAATCTCATGATATATTTATAGAGCCTAAAATGTTTGAGGAGTCAGCCACAGGGATCCAGGTGAGGGGAGGGAACCCAGGCCATGGCCCACAAGTGGCAAGACGGGAAAGTGGGGGAAAGGAGAGGAAAAGGCCAGGGGGACCAGGACAGAGTGAGGAGGCAGCAGCAGAGATCCAGGTAAGGGAGGTTGGAGAGATTTTGAACAGTTAAGGGAGACAAACTTGTCTGTTGGTTTGTCCTACTATGGTGATGTGTTGCTGTGAGTCTTGAGGCTGCACCACCAGTGTTTCAAACCCAGCGGGGTGTACATGGTGCACAAGTATCAGCGCAGCTTGCAGACTGAGATGGACTAGGAAGAAGGAAGAGGCCATCCACTTCTCAAATAATTGACCAGGGAAAACCTTATGAATAGCAGAGAAACACTGATACATTACTGCACAACTTTATTAATAGTTTGGAAACATTGTCCAATAGAGAGGAGGAGGATGAGTCACTTAGGTTAGGAGGCTCTCAAAATATGACTGGGAAATAACTGCACATCAGAGTAAAACCACCCTTACTGATATGGTTAAGGTAAAGCTTTCGAGACTTCCATTTGCTGACTTGGCACAACTCAAATTGAGGAGAAAAAGCTGCAAACATTCATTAATAATAGGAACATGGAATGTACAAAGTATCAATCTAGGAAAATTGGAAGTTGTCAAAAATGAAATGGAACGCATTAAGATTGATACCCTAGGCATTAGTGAGCTGAAATGGACTGGTTTTGGCCATTTTGAATCAGACAACCATATGATCTACTATGCTGGGAATGACAGTTTGAAAAGGAATGG